CCAATCTCTTAAATAATTAATAACTTTTTCCTGTCTAGTTTTACATTGAAACGATCTTCAGCAAAGTTGTAGCTGAGAAAATTTTCTATAAGGATGGTTATCAAACTGTTTCGCAGCTCAATATGGAAAAAGACTAGAAGGCAATGAACAAAAAGTTGAGATTTCCCATAGTAATTTACATGTAAACTTCAAATGGCTTGTGCGAAGTCTGTTTCTAACCAAATGAGTTGTAACTTTGGGAGGCTAATCAGGACCCGATTTGAAAACATATAAGCACTGTGGAGTGAAAAAGTCAAATTTTGCATCAGTCTAATGATCAGGTATATGGTATTAATTATTTTCTTGGGTGTCACCCCTCTAAAACGCTGTACAGACTGGAGAGTTATTATAACGGTTGTCAAATAATTACAACACAGAAACCACCATCAAGATAGCGCTATAACATGTTATAACTCTCCAGTCGGTCTTATCAAATCTTTTCTTTACCATGAAAGGTTTTGTTTTTACTTTCCACTAAGGGTAACTCAAGTAAGTCGGTTAACTTTAGGTTAGGTCCACGAATTGAATTTGAACTGGACTCAAGATTTTCGTGCGTAGTAGAATTCGGTTTGGTAACAACAATAACTCGGTCTGGGAATCAGAGTTTCAGATTGGGCATCCCTGAACCAAACATTCCTCAAACGACTTGAAAATCGGAGTGGCGCTTTAGTCGTTTGTAGGCTAACATAGGTTAAACCAAATTTGACAATGTAACGCACAAATCGGAGCTCTTGAGTAAAAGCTAAGCGTTACAAGCTTCTAAGAAAATTCTATTACAGCGAACCACATTATTTTAATTGATTTCTTCGCCAGTTAGTCGTCTGCGAGTTAAACTACCTTACATATTATATTGGAGATGAACTAGCCAAAGGCTAAAAATCTCCTTAATAAAGGTTAAAAAAAAACCTTACATATTATGGTTGTAACCAATCCCGCTCGAATTTATTTTCCCTCTGTGTATATATTGACCGCAATAAAGATATATTGGAATCAATGAATACTATAGAATCATTTGTAATGCGAAATCAATCATACATTTCATGTGCAATGAAATTAAAATCATTGGAGACGATTATAAATTCCATAGACAGAATCACGTACCTTCTACGTGATAATCCCTGGGGGGACGTGCTGTCAAATCAGCCTACTGATCATTCTTGTAAGAAATTGGTTCCAAACGTAAACAAACCCTGTAGGTTTCTTATGGCTTGTTTACATTTGGAACCAGTTATGCGAGGTAGGCGACGATAAAGCCCTACAGTAAAAGTATGGACGTCTGTCAAAAGTTGCTCGATAGGAACAGCTTTTTTCAGTTTTGTGGTGACAGTCGTCCATACTTTTACTGTAGGGCTTTAGGCGACGATTGTTCGTATTTGACAGCCACCTCCTCCCCCTTGGATAATCCAGTAACCATCTCACTCGCTGAAATGAGTGCTTCCATGTATGAATCACGTAACTCTTACCTGAAAAGTGCGATGGAAAAAAATCTAGGTATGTTTTCACGTAGCATTGACGGGAAAATTATGTTGAGTGTACACTCAAAAAATAAGACACATTTCCAATGGAAAATATCCATTTGAATTTCACATAACTTTCTTGACATCTCGTAATTGAAAATCGCACCACAAAATCACATGAACCTGATGTGTCCAATACAATGTATGTGATTTATCACATAGAATTCATGTGATCATATGAATGTTATGTATATTTCAAATAAAAATCATTAATTTAGTTGTTGGAAAAATATCATGTGCGTTCCCAATGGAAACTACATAAAAAAACTTTTTTCAGAGTACGTCAAAACCATCATACACGGTTAAAAAAAAGTAACTAAAATTAGGTAAACAGCTCATATTGCACTGTTGGGTAAAAGCATTCACGGTAATTATACCCAATTTTGATTATATATGAACATACGGAATAATATATTTAAAAAAATATGAGTTTTTTATTTCGGTTTCCATACAATAGGAAAATTGGCTCTAATGTTGGCCTATGGATCTAAGATTTTACCCATCGCTAAAAATCTGCTATCTAGCAATTTTATCTAGACGAACGCATCATTGGGACGGTACTAATGGATATTTTTGGTCGCTATTGAAAATTTAGTCGATTGCTGAATTTATATTTGGGCCCAAATTAGGGGCATTTAGGCCGACATTACATCCATTTCCCCTATATCACAAAAATCTAAAAACATGAGTAAGCGTTAAGGAAGCAAACATATTCTGAATTGAAAACAACAAACATTTGGGTAAATACAGATTTACCCATGGTATGTTTAGGTTTGACCGACTCTTCCCAATTTTGAGTAGTTTTCAAATAGCGTGTAGGCTTTTAACGCTTATGTCAAGAGCAAATTTTCATTACGTCGAATGTAACAAAGGTAAACAAAGTCGAGCTATCAGTGTCAATCGATTCTCCTGCTATTACACTATATACTGTCCGATTATAGGATCACATTCCATTTTTAAATTTATTTACCAGTCAAATTGCTTTTTGACGTAATTACCTTCCGATCAAAATAGTTTTCGATGTTACTTAAGTCATCCGATTTCTATGGAGATGCCGTTTGACTTAAGTAACAACGCTGAGAAACCCGTGAAAAGTGTACGTTCGTCGTTTCGCTTTCTCATTATTAAAGTGAATAAATCGAACTGTTTGTTGCTAAGATGATTTCGGTGGTCCTAAAATTATGAATGGGCTGCACGTAAGGAGACGTAATTGATAATTCTCCCGAATATCCTGGTAAATACACTTTGACTTAAGTAACAATAGGGGCCACCAAACGACGTATAATAACTTTTGACTCAAAAACCAGTATTTTTTAGCATGAAAGCTAGCGATTTGCATTTGTATGATTAAAACCCTGCTAAATATGTTAAACATTGCTATCTCTATGAGATTATATGTGTTTACTTGAAAATAGGAATAACTTTTCGGTCATCAAAACAAAACCTTATTTTTCTCGGATTTGGTGCGAATGTTACTTACGACATAATAAAAATTTGCTCTTGATGTACACTCAACAAATTTATCACATAGGTATCTAATGGATCATTGAAGATGCTGAGGTTTTGACAGCACCGTATTGTGGCTACCACAGTATTTTACATTGGTTCGTCCGTATACAGTAGCGCCAAATGTAAACTGTGGTGGGTTCCAAACTCAGCCATCTAAAATGATCCATTGGCGTTGACGGCGACTCTGTAGCTCTTTACTCCTATGAGAAAATCCATAAGCAAACGTCAGACTGTGCGTGAAACATGGCAGACTTTGTACTATCCTTTCACTCCACCGAAAATTCCCATAGGAAACTGTCTATATTTGCTGGAAGAGCAAATTTTTCGACGGTGCCGTCAACGCCAATAGATGAAATCTACACGGTAAGAAAAAAGTACCCAACGGAAAGTTCACTTTTACCTACTTTTGACTAGTTTGTCTCCTTTTCTCCTTCTAATGTTGTCAAAAACGGAGGAGCAAAACCACCCAACAGGGGTAGTAAAGTGTGGGAACCCAACGTTGAGTATAATCATATTTACCTACTGTTGGGTACAACTAACATACTTTTGGTTAAAAAGCCACTGGAAAATTCCATACGAATTTCACACAAGTAAATGAAAATTACTTTGACCCGCTTTACCTACTTTTGGGTTCCTGCACTATAGTGCTGAGATGAGTGAAAAGAACTTAATTTTGGGTACTTTTTTCTAACCGTGTATGTGAATTACAAACACGGCGAATGAGAACGACTCAAATTTGAGTTTAGTTCACTCATAATCGCCAAAAAAGCAGGAACTCAGCGATGAGTTAATTTGCCTCATGTTTTCCCAGGTTTTTCCAGGATTTACCAGGGAAAAATTCTCGAATTTGCGAAAAGTAAAGATTGGATTCACTCAGTATATTGGTACTACTCCGAGACTGAATAAAATTTTCGTCAATATCCTCATTTTTCGGCAGATTCTTTAGGTTTTCCACAGGAAACCATGAGACAAATTTTACTCATCGCTGAGTTCCTGCACTTTTGTCGATTATGAGTGACCTAAACTCAAATTTGAGTCGTTCTCATTCGCCGTGCATAGCTTTCCTGTGATCACATATCACATAGCTGCAAATCCCTCCACAAAATCACATTAATATTATGAGGCCGATGAAATTGGCGACATCTACGGTCGTGTCTTGGATACAACCTCTTACTTTTTTCATCTATTGCTGAAATCAATTAATGTTTTACCATATTGCTGTTTGTTAGAATCTTGGAAAAATATGTTAGGCACCGGAAAAAAAACCGCTTCCCTGGAGTGCTTGGCTTCCTCCTCTTGAGTCGAATACCGTTGACGGACTTCGTTCTTGGCACCTTTTGTTCTCGTCGCTTCATCGCGGCATTTGCTTCTCTACGCTCTGCAATCTTCCGCAGGGTTCATACCCGTGATCTATACTCTCTCCACTTTCTCTGAGTGCGCAGCTCACCACCCACGTTGTTTTAACTCGTTCCGATCAAGACATTCTTGATGGCCGTTTAATGTTATTCTACGTTCTACCACCTTCTGGAACATTCGCAGTCTTAAGTTCTTCAACGAAAGACCTTCTGATGGCTGGATCTTCTAGTCGGCATCTATCAAATCGCCAACAGAAACTCTACGTTGACCGCTCAATCCGCGCAACACTTAGGTGGATCTCACCGATTAGCAAATGATGGTCAGACGAGATGTCAGCGTTGTGTTCATTCCGGACATCAAGAAGGCTCCGTCTCCATTTTCGGCTGATGCAGATGTGGTCTTGGGAAAGCATGTGACTTTGTGCACAGGATGTTGGGGCTGTTCGACGACATTCAGTTGACTGTCCTGTAGCGCAGCAACATCCGGTTGGCGCATAACATAACGAAATCACGTTCCTTATGCCAAAAGGGATATCCGATAAAAACTATCCAATTCTAAACTATATTTTCAATTTTTCAGAACGAAACCTACCACGACAAGGCTTCCTCGGTCCACACCGAAATGAACACCCTGAAGGCGGCCTTTCAGCGGGTATCGGACCCGGTCCAGCAACTGCACAACCGTTTCGTGTTGGAAGAATCGCTGAGCCGCGAGTGGATCACTGCCTATCGGGACCTTCGCAGCCCCAACAAGAAGCGCGTCAACGAGAAGGCCAAATACCTGGTGGACCGACTGCGCGACTCCTGGCAGCATTTGCTGCGCGATCGTGCCACCCGGTCGCTAACCTACAACGACGAACAGTTCCACGCGCTGGAGAAGATCAAAATCACCGAAACGGGCAAACGGGTCAAAACGCTGCTGAACGAAGACGTACGGCCTGCGGTGGAGCTGGAAGCCGAATGTCTGGCCGATTGGTACAAAAAGGCACAGACGATCTTCCTGCAGACGCAGTTTCTGCACAAGGATGTAAGTTCCCACGAGGAAACGCTGTACGACATCCGCGATCGCTTGATTCAGATCAAGGAAGACTTGAAGGAGGACATCAAGAACGATGGAGAAGTTTCCAAGATTGCCAACGAGACGACCGTGAACGAGCAGAACATTGAATGCATGAAGAAATCCAAGGAGATGCAGAGCTACCTGAGGGTAAGTTGACGGATCTGTGTTTAAATGTTTATTAGTGACTTAAATTCTTTTTCTCATTATCATTGCAGACGTGGTACAACTATCAGCGGGAGATCAAGAAAATTCTTCAGCAGAACAGCGAATTGTGCAGTGTAGTTCAGAATTTTTCCTTGACCGACGAAGAGACTACATGAGAGATTGTTGTTTAGATTTTAAATTGAAGATCAATGTTTTAGGCTGTTCCACTTAATTTATCTTAAATACAACGGACTGGTTGTAATATATTTTACAATATAACAAAGTATTCTCTATTATTTTACAATTGATAATCTAAGCGATTTTATATTATATACCATAAACAATATGTTATACTCTCAAAATATTATACTTTCCAACACAACTCGCATGTGTTTTCTTGATATTACAGCCAATCTGCCAGCGGAAAATGTTTTCGATTTCTCCTTGTACAGGCTAGAAAAAGAGAGAGAGAGAAAGCACGAGCACCCGTGAGAGTATAGGAAAAACAATTTACAGCACCCTTCAACCGGCATCCGCCGACGCCCTACACCACAGTCAATATCCTTGAGGCAAGACGGAAGAATAAAAATGCCACCCCAACCTGCAGTTTCACCTCCCATCTTCCAAGCGCAGACTAGCGAAAAAGTTGGGGTAGGGGCAGTAACAACTCGACAAAAAGGACCTATCCCCATACAAATCTCGCAAGTCTGCGCAGGTAGGCAGTAGCGGCAGCAGCGACGACGACGACGACGGTTGCAAACGATCAAACACATACACGCACGCACCCTCACTACCGGTTCCGCTCACCAGTCACCCCCGGCGGACTACAGCTGAATTGGCGGCACATCCGCGTGTTGCACGTGGCTGCTGATGGATGATGCGCAGGCGTCGAAAAAAAAAGTTTCCCTTTCTCCTGGGTGATGGGATGTGGGAGAGGATTCGAAAAATTACTTGGAAGTTAATGCTTTGTTTTCTGCCGGATGGGAAGATAATTGCTGTTACTAAATTTTTGCACACCATGCCGAGCAGGCATTATCAAATCGATGCAAACTCCAAACCGAACACTGTTGGGTTGTTGAATAGAGCGAGCGAATCTGCTCGCGGGGATAATTTGAGCAAGTATCGATTTTTTTCCCGGAAACTTCTGCTGGTCGAGTTCCAGGGCATGTTGTTCTTTGAGCTGAGTTGTTAATTTATTTTTTTGGTTTTGGAACGTGATTGAAAAAAAAAGTCTCTACATCAATTGTAGCGGCTAATGGTTCCAAAATCAATTTCATCGTAGAGCATCCGAAGCATGGCCAATGCGGATTAGCAATGAGCTGTTGGAGGGGGGTTACTACGATTTGTGATAACTATCATGAATGGTATCGATTGATATTAGATTGGTTTTGATATTTCCCCGTTCTAAATGTGGGTGTGGATAACTCACTTATTTGAGTTTGTTTTTTTTTTTATATTGTTATAAGCTTCTCAGCATTTCCAACTTTCAGCAAACACAGAAGACATTTGGATGACATCAAAGAAACAACACACTTTTCACTCCAAGCACCGATTTCTCACAAATTACAACTCAATCCAAAAATTAAATAAATAGGACAAACTATTACCAATAAAAGAAGGGGTCATCTTATGAGTCCTATAGCAGTGATGGTCGGCTTAGTTTTGTTACCGTTTCGGTAAAATGGCTATAAAATCGAGATATACTGGCGACAGTTTGAATCGCGCTAAATTGAGTGTTTTGAAGTGTGCAGTTCAATTTATTGGAACTCAGATCGTGATGGTTTTGATGAAGTGGATAAATAGATAGTTATGCTAACTAATCCAGTCATCGGGTCGACCGTAATCTAGTGACTAATGTAACTTCTATAGGTTACACCTCTGGCTGAAAACCATGTTTGCATGTCTCTCGCAGGACTGGTAGCGGGTTAGTTTTGTTTTTCCTTGATTTGTTTTCCGTCGATCTTATTTTCCGTGCTGAGCACTAATGCTACCGACGCCAGGGAGGCAACTCCCACACCTGGACCCTACTTATCGACTCATCAACTCATGAACCGGGGACCAACGAATGTTTTTCAAATTTTATATTTTTAAAACAAGTACTGACGATCCAAGAGTTAATGTGTTAGTGGGCTACAAAATGGTGAGTGACAATCTGGAAGGAGCGATATACCTAGCTCCGGTTCTCACAAGTTCCTACCTCACGCCTCCACGAGTCATATGATCACAAAAGACTGCCAGCTGAAACATGGACACAGCTGGTTGGCGTAGCCTGGGCAATGTTGTCAATCCGACAATAGCAGAGTGAGGAGGTGCGACGCGAACACTGGCGCGGTAACCATAGCACGGTGTTAGAGGAAATGCTTCGCCAACCCGAGCGTCTGTTCACCATGGAGGTGCGGCTCAAACAGCGTCTGACTGGCATCCAGCGGCTGAATAAGAAATGCTCTTCCCCGGAAGCTACACCTAAGATGGCAGCCTCATCACGGCGGATAGGAGACCTTAGGCCAACCACCTACTGTCTCTGAAACCTTTACAATTGTTACAGAAACCAGCAGAGAAAGACATCGAACTGATTTAACGGCAACGACTTTTAGCGCAAAACAACGGACACGAATTGGATCATGGAATGTATTGACGTTAGCCCAGCAGGGTAAACTGGCACAATTCGCCAACGAGGCGCGACGCATGAAGCTAGAAATCCTGGGACTAAGTGATGTTCGTTGGCCAAACCTTGGAGAACACAAACTGCCGTCGGGACAGGTACTACTATACTCTGGTATTCGAGGTGAAAACGCTCCCGGCCATCGTGGAGTTGGTCTTCTACATAGCGTCCAGGCAAGTGCTGCGCTCATCAAGTGGGAGCCTGTTAATGAGAGGATAATCGTTGCCAGATTTAGAACACGGGTTCGTAACCTTACCATAATCCAATGTTATGCGCCAACCGATGCTGCAGAGCTACAGGACGAGGAGAATTTTTACAGTCAACTGAATGGCGTCGTGGATAAGGTTCCAAAGGGTGACATCAAGATCTACACTGACGACTTCAATGCGAAGATCGGCTCCGACAACACGGACTATGAGCGTGTCATGGGACGCCATGGTCTCGGCGAAATGAGCGAGAATGGTGAGCTGTTTGCAAAATTTTGTGGCAATAACGACATGCTGATCGGGGACTCGCTCTTCCCCCATCGGCCAGTGCACAAAGTCACGTGGGTTTCCCGTGATGGACATACCGAAAATCAGATCGACCACATCTGCATCAGCCGAAAATGGAGACGGAGCCTTCTCGATGTCCGGAATAAACGCAGCGTCTGACCATCACCTTCTAATCGGCGAATTCCGCCTACGCATGGCGCGGATCCAGCGACGGGAGGAGAGACTTGAGCGGTGGTTCAACACACGCCGACTTGAAGATCCAGCGGTAAAAAGGTCTTTTGTTGAAGAACTTGAGACTCCAGCTGCTTACGTTCCAGAAGGTGGCAGCGTAGAAGAACAATGGACGGCCATCAAGAATGCCTTTATAGAAACAAGCGAGAACAACTTGGGTGAGCTGCGCACCCAGAGGAAAGAGTGGATCACAGATGAAACCTGGCGGAAGATTGAGGAGCGTAGAGAAGCAAAAGCCGCGATAGAGCGGGCGAGAACCAGAGGAGCCAAGAACGAAGCCCATCAACGGTACTCGGCTCTAGAGAAGGAAGTCAAGCGCTCTTGCAGACGGGACAAGCGAGCGTGGGTGAACTCCCTGGCCGACGAAGGGGAGAAAGCCGCAAACACTGGCGATATACGCCTCCTCTACGATATCTCACGACGCCTGAGTGGAGCAAGGATGAACCCGAGGATGCCAGTGAAGGACACGACTGTACAATTGCTTACCGACCCCACTGACCAGCTGAAACGCTGGTTTGAGCACTTCGAACAACTTTCGATCAACCAGCCATCAACATCTCGGCATGATCCGCCTAGGGTGCGACGCATCACTCGCGTCAATACCGAGGCATTATCACTGCAGGAGATTGAAGCAGCTATCCGAAGCATGAAATCCAACAAGGTTCCAGGGGTCGATCGCATATCAGCAGAGATGCTCAAAGCTGACCCCATGCTATCCGCACAAATGTTGCATCAACTATTCTGTAATATCTGGGACACCGCGACTTCTCCGGCCGACTGGATGCAGGGCATCTTAGTGAAGGTCTCAAAGAAGAGGGATCTAACTGTGTGCGACAATTGGCGAGGCATCATGTTACCAACAATCAATACGAAACTAACGATTTTAAATTGGCTCACCACTTTAGTAGCCTATTGGTCCCAAGCAAACGATTAACGTACCCTATTCTAGTTGAAATTCTATTACTACACTATGTTTGTTTTGATTCGCTATGAAAGTTTGACAGATAACATCAGGGTTGTGTGGATTCATGCAGAACATGCAGGGGTGAGTGAAATAGCTTGGGACTGCTTGGGACCGTTGTTCTGGTACTGAGTGAGCCAAAAATAATAATGATTTTCTTCGGGACCCAGTGGTCTTAGAGTTACCTCTATGATGTTACTGTGTATTGTTCTCAAAGTTCTGTGCAAAGTTATCCTGAATCGGATACAGGAGAAGATCGACGCGACTCTCCGACGGCAACAGGCAGGATTCCGTGCCGAAAGATCTTGTGTGGACCATATTGTCACGAGTCCCTTTATTTGGTATTCATTGACTACGAAAAAGCTTTCGACCGTCTCAATCACGAGAATCTGTGGGGCGCCCTGAGACGCAAGGGAGTCCCGGATAAAATCGTCAACCTCATCGAAGCGCAGTATGAGGCTTTCACGTGCAGAGTTCTGCATAACGGAGCCTTGTCCGACCCTATCCGGGTAGTCGCTGGTGTGAGACAAGGATGTAGACTATCACCGCTACTGTTTCTCATCGTAATCGACGAGATCATGGTAGGTGCAATTGACCGTGTACCGAACCGTGGGCTGCTTTGGCAGCCTATCACCATGGAGCATCTCAACGACTTCGATTTGGCTGATGATGGTGCTCTACTAGCACAACGGCGCTCTGATATGCAGAGTAAGCTCAATGACCTAGCCGAACGCTCCTCTGCAGCGGGTCTCACCATCAACGTCAACAAGACCAAATCGTTGGATATCAACACGGGCAACCCTTCCAACTTTACGGTAGCGGGGCAAGCAGTGGAGAAGGTCGAAAGTTTCCAATATCTTGACAGCCAAATAGCGTCGGACGGCGGGACCAAGAGCGACATAGGTGCACGAATCAAGAAGGCTAAGGCTGCCTTTGCGAGTTTACGAAACGTATGGAGCTCCAAACAGATAAGTCAACGCACAAAAATCCG